TTTTTTTTTTTTTTTTTTACTGCGAGAAACTGGCGATCCAGCAGGAATACAAAAAAAAAAGTTTCTGACAGAAGTACAAAAAAGCAGTTTTTCATGCGGTTTTCCTAAAATCCAAACATGTTTTTTAGATTTTTGAAGAGAACTCACTTTAATATTTCTTTTTTTTTTTTTTGCATAATTACCGCTTGTCCACTTGTCGTATTCTTCAGAATTTTAATTTTGCTGCTTATTTGTATTTGACTGAATACTGCATTTGTGCATCCGGTGAATGCTGTGTTTTGTCACGGTATCTTATCGCAAAAAAATGCATAATCGTTCTTACGCTGCCATTTGGAAATTTGTTTTTATAAAAGTTTGTCCAAAAATTATCTAAAATTCTCATCATTTTAGCCTTAAAAGAGGCGAGCTATTGATACCATCAGCGGAGCGTTACACTTACGATATTTCATTGCTGGACAAAAACAATGTTGAGACGGGTGAAATTCGAGAACGAGTCAGTCATCAGCAACTTCTGTAATCTTTTTTTTTACTTTTCCAACAGATGTTTATAAATATGTTCGCTTTTCATCAGTGCTTCTTCGCTAAATACGGGCTTACTGGGGAATAGTGCTACTCTCAGCTAGAAAGTATTCGGTTCGGGAAATCGATCCTTCAACTTGTTTTGGTGGTGATTTCGTAATGAAGCATGCCAGGGGAACATTATTAATCTGCTTTTAAGTCACTCTCAAAAGAGTGATTCTTGAGTAGTTTTTGCTTGTAAGTCTTACCTAGTTAGCCTGCTAGGTTCCCCCACCTCTCAGCAAACGGATGAAGCATTAATCAAAAAATTTAAAGTTTTAGATATCTCGGCATTAAGTATGCAAATTTCTGATTCGGTGCATTCGGTGTAGTGGCTCTTTGTATAGCAAGCCTTAAGTTGCTGATCTGATCCCGCGTATTTAAAAAAAAATAATATCTTTGAATGTCATCGATAACGCACATCCCAATAATCAGGTGTTAATAATATGGTTGGAGTGTCAGAAAGTCGCCTTTGGCGTACTTCTTTAGCAGTTTTCGGAAGAGAAAAGTATCGAGTGATTTTTGAGGTGTTTTCCTCTCGCATATTCATTTTAGGTCTGGCTGAATGAATGCTAAATTTACAAAGAGGTTATTGCCACCAGTGGACGTCTAGCATAATCTGATTATCGATAATTTTCTTTTTAGCCGTAGTAAATCGCTGTGGGCTCGAAATGTTATCAGAGTGTTCCTGAAAAATTCATGCGCGGCGGATCACGAACGACTTACTGTTAAGGTGAGTTCTGAAGCTGTACTGAAGTTGAAATCGATATATTAAAAAAATTGTTTAGGGTTGGAATCGGTGCGAATTACTGGGTTTAAATCAGTAAAAATGTGTAAATTGTTTATAAGAATCAGTACAAATTAATTGCTGATTTTGAGTTCTGTTGTTTTTTGATACAGAATCGTCGCTTTTTAATAGGAAATGTGTTTTTCAGAAGGAATTAGTTGAGAAACTGGGTTTGGATCATATGTGTTGGGATGAGGTCTTTGGCGGACCGGTTGCTGAGTTCCCGAGGACGCCGTTAATGCATCGAGGGCCATCAAAAGGATCACTTCGACCACCTCCACTTCATCTAAGTATTTTTTTTTTGCCATTTATATCTCTTACGCTTGTGCTCTGAACAGCAATTATTTCACTGTTATGCTTTTTGTTGTAGACGTAACTGACAGTTTCTGCATTTCGCTTATTCTGAATTTGCTGTTTCCACATAAATTCATGAGGCTTTTCAGTGATCGTTCCATATTATGTTTATTTGGCTTATTTTCCATTAGTCTGCTTGTCATATGCCTTCCTTGATTCATACGGATTGATCAGATCAGCACAGCTTTTGCTGCTTGCTACTTTAAAACTTTCATAAGCACTCATGCCAGACTGGAACTGTAGCGATTTCTTTGGGATACGCTGCAATTTATTGATGATCGTCCCGCACCCTTTCTATGTCTCCTTCGGTCAGTGCGGGGGACGGGGAGGGGGGGAGGGGGATTTAAAGACAGGCGTTTTTTTCGGTGTTTCACTTCCGTACCACAAAACACTGCTTACAATCAAATAGTGCTGTCTTCATTTCAAGCCATATGGATTGCTGTACCAAAATTACCGGACAAGAAAGTAATATGAGCCATATGAAACGGTCCTGGAACAAAATAAAAGCTGGGCTTCGCTACGTTGTGTGCCTTCCGAGCTGAATCGACAAGAGAAGGACGAAGGACTGTTACTTCATATGACCAGAGGATGTCGCTGCTAAAGCGAGCTGCAGGAATTTTAAAAGATCTTGTCTGGAACGGTAGTGAAAAGAAAAGGCGGGATTAGTGACTGAAAAGATTTTA